TGACTCTGTAAACCGCTTAGAGGGGGCTGAAAGCCCTATGAAGCGGTATATAAGTCTAACTGCTATTGCTATTGTGAGGCGAGAGCGCCAGCTCTAGGCCACCGCATCACTCCAACCTGTTTCCCAACATGATGCTCCCCAAATGAGGAAGGACTTCAGCTCTCAGTACCGACTGAGAAAGCTGCAGCTACGGTTATAACACAACTGTAAATGTCCTAGCTTAAAGCTCCACCGTTAAGTCCTTCCAAGTTGTTCACTCTTAAGCCGATGAACAGCTACATCCGTCGTTTTTTCCTTGGGCGCCTCCTCCCATTTTTTAAAAAGCCTCGGTCCCCCAGGTGCTGAAAAATGCAGACTGGGGCTCCAGGCCAAGACTAGCCGGCAGAAAGCGATCTCAAGGCATTAAGTCCTTTAAGAGTTCCCTTGATTTGCAACTTCCGTTGCAACTTCCAAACTTCCCTTAGTTTGCAACTATTCAAACATTTCCTGGGGAAAGTCCAAAATGAAGAGGCAAAGCATCCTCGTTGCTCCAATTCAAACGGTACATAATCCACAGCGCCACCCCTCCGAATTACTCCCAGGAGCAGGCCTGAGCTCTGAAACGAAGCATCTCTTTCGCAAGCAAAGGCGGCCTTCCACGTTTCAACCCTTGATCGATGGGTTGGGAAAGAGGCCAAAGGATGCTTGGATTACCTGGAGGCCGACGTCAAAAGGAACCCCCTCCTGCATGACCCGGAATTTCGCGGGAATCCTCACCTTCATCCTGGCCTAGAATGAACTTGTGTGTTTTCAACAGGTTGGTTCTCATCCGGGTCAGCTGGTCTAACAGGCTGCGGCGAGGAATATCGTAAGCGTTGCGGAAGGCCTGTGGCTTGAGATCCTGGGTTTGGGCAGAGAACACGATCCGGTTGGATTTCATCTTTCTTCTCCTCCCCTCCATTTATAAGACCCGGAGTCCGGAGGCGTCTGCTTCCTTCAGTCCCGGCACCAGACTCACCTTATTCAAGAGCCCTATGTGGAAGCCAGCAAATTCCTTCACGTTCATTTCAGGCAGCCTCAGGGGAGAGTCGCCCGAAATCCCTTGAAGCAACTGCTTGAAATCCCTGCTCTGGATGAGGGACAAGCCGCTGGAGTGACTCTTCACTTTAATGCCCGTCTCTTGCGGGGGTTTCTTACCCACGGACGCTATTATCCGCTCCGATTCTAATTTTGTCTGCAATGAAAATCACAGCGCTCGTTAACGACGGCCCCAAGCCCTGCCGATGGTTTGTAGCATAAAAGCGTTAAAACGCCCGACACGTCGAAAGGCAAAGTCTGACTTCCGAGTGTCAGGGAGTTTCAATATATATATATATATATATTTAAAAGCAAAAACAAAACCTGCTTATAAAACGGGTCCTTTCT